ATGTAGAAAGCCGTTCCACTGTTCATCTTCCACGACACCCTGATGGAGTTGGACCCGCATTCCTTCGTAGCCAACACATTCTGGGGGACGCACGGGACTGAACAAGAGGCAACAAATTACATCCAGTCTCTGTTACTTTTACACCTTTCCCATAAAAATTGGTGTGTAAAACAAGGTTTCCCCTCACCTGTCTCAGCAGGAAATCCCAAACTTGGAGCACTGGCGCATTCGTCGTCGTACGCCGTGATGGTCATGGTCATCTGATCTCCACAGAGGACGTCCTCCATGGCGCAGCTGTTGGACTGTGAGCTGCAGTTGTAGCTGCTGTTTCGGATGTTTCCCTGAGCCTCAACGATGTAGCGCAAGGCGCCCTCAGCGTGGTCCCACTTGCTGACCAGAACTTTGCTGCCGCAGCTGGCTGAAGTCTGCAAATTCTGGGGGATGCATGGCGCTGGAGAAAAAAACAATACATTAGAGGTTATTTCATCAAATTTAGAATAGATCAGATTAATCGTGATTAATTGATTGTAGAAATAATCGTCAACCAATTTAGTAACTGGTCAATCCTTAATCGTTAACTGGAGTGTAGATGCGCTGCAGCATCATGTCACGCATGCAAAATCCCACCCATAAAAGAGTTCAGGATGGAAGATAAAAACACACAACTTTGTGTTTCTGTTCACATTTTTGTAAATGTAAGTGTTTTTTACCTGTCTGAACTTCAACAGTCGAGCTAATTCCACTACTGCAGCCCGCTGTGACGGAGAATACGGTGAAGCGATACCGTCGACCACATGATGTTTGTGTGAAGTAGCATGAGTTGTCTTCAGTCAGGCAGTTCAGGATCTCTCCCTGGAGACAGAAGAAAAGGGAACGAGGTGCATTCATGCTCCACCAAAGAAAAAAATCATAATTTTTACATGGAAAACTTTTTATTGGCATGTTTTTTATGCATTAATAAGTAAACATCTTTGTGTTTGAGCTACAACCAGAGGCTCCCTCTGCTGTTACTGCCAATTAACTACAACAAAAGAGTTTTTATATTTTTAAAGAAGCATTTTAAATGTTTTTAAATGACCCCCACTGTGCACATAAATACAGTCATGATTTAGTGCAACTGAAACCAATTTGTAGAGTTTATGAATTTCAATTACAAGAAAAAATTCTATTTATTTATCTAAGGCATTCAAAGCAACAATCTCTTTAGCTCATTCTTAAAATAAGCAAATAAATTAGATATACGCAGTTGAAAACAGCCAGGTTTCTGAATTGCTATATTTTAAAAAATTTGATTGAAGTTGATTGTACTCCGTTTCATACATAAGAGGACTAGCGCCACGGCAGAAAAAACAAATAATTTTCTTTTTCTTTTTTTTATTCTGAGAAGAAAGGCTGAATTCCTTTTTTCAGTGGCCTACAAAAAATTGTGATAATTACGACTCAATTAGTAAAATGTACAGGAATATCTTCAAAACATGTAGTTCTGCCTCGTTTGATTAGGTGTTACACCATGAGATTTCACTTTTTCACAAAATTCTGATTTTTTTGATGCTAAATTTTTGGTTTTTATTATATATCAGCTAATATCGTCAAATTTACAAGAAATAAAATTGAAATACTTCACTTTCTGAAATCCATGGCGAAAAATACCTATTTAATTCGTAATAAATAAATGGGATGCCTTTTTCTCCAGGAGCAGTCACTGAGAGCGCACACTTAATAATTTAAAAAGACCGATTAACTTAAAAGTCATAAATATTGGACTGCAAGAAGAAATTACACTGGCGCACACTTAACGTTTCTTGTTAACCGCCAACAAAAATCAAGAAGAAGAAGAAGAAGAAGAAGAAGAAGAAGAAGAAGAAGAAGAAGACGTTCCACCGGCCGTTAGCTTCTGGCTAACAAAATTAGTTAGCAAATTTGCCACCTACTTCGCCGTTCCCACCGGACCAAATTTTTTTTTTTTTAAAGAATAAACCCCAAATCAGACACCGAATGACTTATTAATTTATTTTTTACCTTTGAGTCTTCTGCCCGGGCCATGTAGAAATCTATGTTGCTTGTGTGATTCCATGAGAAGATGATAACGTTGCTGCTACATTCTCGCAACAACATCGGGTTGCCAGGAGGGCAGGGAGCTAAACAGAAAGACATATCAAATTTGTAATTTAAACCTCGTAACCACATCATGTTATATACTTTAATGTATACATATATACTTACAAGAGGTTACCAAAAGAAGAATAGGTGATTAATGTATGACAGAAGAGTTAAAAATGCCAGTAATTATGATTAAATGTCACAATCAAAAGGGAAATGTCTCACATCTCTTTTTAGGTTAAAACGCCCTGATACAGATAGCTGCGTTTCCCTGCATTCAGGTTTTATAAAAGCACAAGTCTATTATGAAGAGAAAGAACACAAAACAATGTGAAGCTGAATGGGAGACCCATTTTTTAAAAAGATTATTCAAACATGGACGTGAACCTGGACAGAAAACAGGATTTGAAAGATGAAACCTGTAAACAAGTATTCCCCAAAGTAATGAGACTCATTTTAAAGGATTTAACAAATTTTACCTCTTATATCTGAGAAATATTTTAATGTATGTTTTTATTAAAGTTTATGATTACCACAGGGGGTTTCTGTGTTATAATCACCAGATTTAGTGACGCAGCACTGTAAAACATTTGAAAGTCATTTAACTTGAAAATTGTGCACACTTTAAATAAAACAAAACTAACTTACAAGCTTCTTGTACGCAACATAGAGAAGCTTGTTTTAAATAAATAATTCCTTAATATTGATGAAAAAGTACTAACTCCACTGGCATATTATTTCACTTACAACATGAAAAAAATATCTTGTTATGAGTAAAATTATCTTGCTGCAGAGTTGCTTGTCTTAATTCAATTGTACCAAGATATTTGTATTAAAAACTAGACCAAAAATACTTGGTAAGATTTTGTGTTTTGCTAATAATACTTTCTACTAGCAACACAATGAATTCTGCCAAAAAATAGCTTGAACATGATGAATGTCATCCTCTAGTCTAGCAGTGCAAACTAACAGTTGCACTCGATTAATATTTGCCTTAGTAACACACTCACTCACGTTGCAACACAGGATACAAAAACATGCCACTAAGCATTCTGGGAAATAGTAAGCACTAACTTAGAAACCCTCGTTTAATTAATGAAAAGTCAACACAGCTACGTCTGACAAACTCACAAATTTAAGAAGAGTAGAAGTTAGCAGACACAACTAAATTACAGTGAAGTCTTTATTTATTTTATTGTTTACCCTGCGTGGGTGAGGCAGGACAGCGAGTTTGAGCCAGGATGTTCAGAAGAATGGAGCGACATGTGAGATGAAAGCATTTAACAAAAAGAGACACCTGGGTGGAGCAGTGAAAGCTCTCACCATCGAAGAATTTGATAGAACATCCCCATTCATTTCACCGGTGCTTAGCGGTTAGGTTACATCTTTTATTTGCTATTTAATCACCCAATTAATTCTTATGGATGAGGTTACAGTTCTCTGCTGCCTGTGTCAGTTTAAAGCCACATATTTAACCAGAAATGGATTAGATGGGGGTCAGATGTCAGATGGCATTTCACAAGCAGGCAGGTTACCAGACAATTAAATCAGAATGATTCTTGGATTTCTTATTCAGTTTCTTTATACCGGAGTTAATTTTTTTCTGGCACTCAGGATTTCTGCAGAAAAATTCAGAGATTTCATCTGTTTTAAGATTATAAAATCTAGAGAAAAAAATCAGTCTGAGCAATGATGATGTTTGATTTATTACCATTTTTCCTGTCTTATCTATCAATTAGTAAACATTTTACTTTTTTATTTTGGTCATTTTAATCTTTCCATATACAAGTCAATGCTAAAATAAAAGAAAACAACAAAAAGAGAGAGAAAATGAAATAAAACTAATTCAGAAATATATAAATAATATTTAAATTTCAATGGCAAGAACACGAAGTGTAGAGCAAAAAAGTGTCTATTTTATGGTCACTACAATTTTTGTAATTTTATTTTTTGGGCCTATATAATTATATATATATATATATATANAAGTATTTCATCCTATTTCATGATTGTTATGAATGTTGTCAAGTTTTACAAGCAAAGGAGGCAATTAGTCCAATTATTGTTGTTTATTGTTCTTTTAAAAATGACTGATGCTCCAGTGCTCCACAAAAAAGGGAAAATAATGCTGATAAGCAGGTGTAAAACAACTTTAAATCACTTGTATTCTGCTTTTTCTCGCTCTCTTTGTCAGCTTTACTCTACACGCAGCCCACAAATTAGAGATTAAATTCAAGTGTATCAAGAACATCAACACCAAAAAACATAGACATTTTTCACACAAAACATACACAGAAACCCCAAACAGAACATTCAGTGTGTTACAGTTCAAGATTTTATGATTATTTCACTTATAAGAACACATTTTTTCTCATTTTATAAGTGAAACCATCCTGCCAGTGGAAGTAGTACTTTTTAAATCGATATTAAAGAATTATTTGCTTAAAACAAACTCCTATATCTTGGTGGAAAGTTATTTCAGATTTAGCTTTGTCTTAAAACAAGTGTACCAAGATATTTGCACAAAAACTGGACCAGATATGCTGGGTAAGATTTGGTGTTTTTGCAATGTGGCTACAACAATGTACAAGTATGAGTTATAAATATTCAATCAAAATTGATGTGAGGAAACAAAGAATCAGTTAAATTACAACTACATATAAGTAAACATTTAAATAAATCAGAGTTTAGTTAAAACCAAGCTCAATATCCAGAAGTCAATGACAAAAACAACAAAAAATGAAAAATATCAACAAATACTTTCAACACTTCTTTCCATACAGCAATTTATATTTCCATGTCATGACTTAATCTTTAAATTTTGTTTCCAGGTTAGTCCTTTCTCAAACAAAACAAGGGCCTCTTATGCCGTTGTTGGGAACGGTGGCATCCTGGCAAACAGCCAATGTGGAAAAATGATTGACTCAGCCAAGTTTGTCATCAGGTGAGAAAGATGTTCCAGTAGAGATACTGTAAAAATACAGTCATGCTACATGAATTCCATTTAACAGCATCTGTGTTTATTTTGCATTTAAGGTGCAACCTACCTCCTGTTTCAGACGGATATGAGAAACATGTGGGAAGCAAGACAAACCTTGTGACGGTAAACCCAAGCATCCTCTTAGATAAGTGAGTGAGTTTATGAATCTAAGAGGTAGTTTATAACCCTTTTGTCATATATATCCACCTGTCTACATATGTGTTTCATGTTTGCAGGTATGGGTCTCTAATGAAACGCCGGCGTCCTTTTGTGGAGAAGCTGAGTAACTATGGTGACTCCATGATGCTTCTTCCTGCCTTCTCCTATGGTATGAACACTCCTGTGTCTCTGCGGGCTTTCTACACCACTGAGGACTTTAAAAGCCCCATCCGGCCTCTCTTCCTGAACCCACAGTACCTTGAGAGTCTGGGTGACTTCTGGAAATCTCAGGGAGTGAAGGCGCTACGGCTCAGCAGTGGCATTATGATGACCAGCCTGGCGCTGGAAATTTGTGACAATGTGCATCTGTATGGATTCTGGCCCTTCAGTATTCACCCACACAGCTTCCAAGACTTGAGTAACCATTACTATGATAATAAACCAGCTAAAAAGAACGTCCATTCCATGCCAACGGAGTTCAACCTGCTGCTGAAACTGCACACCCAAGGTGTGTTACAACTACACTTGGGGGACTGTGAACCAGATAATTATTAGCCTTGGAGGAAAAACGATCCATCAATCAAGACACGTAATCTTCTTTTGAATGAAAGATTTTAATGACACCCCCAGTGGAAACATAAGCTTTCTGTAATTTGTGTGAAGTTCCATTGCCAAGACACGGTTTACTTTCTTGAAGACTGGAAACCTTTGGATAATTTTTATATACGTAGATTCTATAATGGTGACAAAAAACCCTGTCAGTGTCTATTCAGGTTTGTGCCTTCAAAGGGAATGTATTATGAAAAATTTGTGATTTGTGGCAATAAGTTAATGTTTTTTGGTGTTTGAAACATAAGAACCTCCATAATGTAAAGTAAATCAGCAGGAACGTCAGCTACCTAGTAACCACTGCCCAGCCTGTTACCTAGCAACCCGAACAGACCTCTTGCATGCTTGATCAAATGGTTTTACCTCTATATGGGCTGTTTTGTCTTTTCCAAAACACTTGGAAAAGACAAGGGTTTTGTTGTTGACTTACCATTCATTAACCACTTGATGTATTCTTGTTGGTTGTACATAAGTCTCTAGTAATGCTTTTCAAAGATGTACAGTTGTATAATTGAGCACTTGTTTGCATGCATTTTCACTTGAGTGTGAACTTTGAGTTGGGAGACGTGGCCAGCAGCAGCAGCTTATATGGATTTATCAATTAATCAGTCAATCACATTTATTAGTATAGAGAATTTCAGCAATAAGGCAGTTCAAAGGGCTTTATGTCATAAAAACACAAAACTACAAAGTCATGGAATGCACAGTCAACAATTGAAACATTACTTTTTGCCAAATGCCAGCATCAAAGTATTGGTTAGTGTTTCATTTACTATGAAATTTAAAGTGACAAGAGGTCTTAAAACAGCTCATTCTGAAAGGAGCTCAAAATATTCAGACTGTCCAGACTGAAATCTCATCATCTAAGAATGACATTATACCAAAACATAATAATAAAGTAAATGCAGTTATCATGTTTTGTGTAGTGCATAGACCTACCCTAACCTGTTTAAATGATAGGACACTTTTAAACAGTTGCAGTTTCCACAAATGCAATAATAATATTTCTATAAGTGCCTGACCTCTTGTGAGAACTATTATCCATAAATGGGGAAAAAAGCATATATCTAATTTTTGACAGCAAAGAGCATTGAAAAAAATGGAGATTTAATAATTAATTTGAATAAGTTATGATCACTATGAACTCAGAATCTCAGGGCAAAATTCAGAGAGAAGCTTTAAATTATGCAAAAAGTGCAACAAACTGTAAGAATGCCAGTTATTTTTAATTTACACCAGTAGATGGCGCTATTTGCTTCTCAGAGGGGTGGTTTGACATGAAGAGACTCAGAATGTAGAAATTTAAGATTTAAATGTTAAGTTAAAAAAATGGTCCTTGTTTCTGATCATAAAGTTTCTTCGTATTTATAAAACTAGTCTAAAATGTTTGCAGTCACACTTTGTGTTTAGATAAGCATCAAAATTACACAGATCTATTTCAACGGCGAAGCCCATTATTGTAAGGAACACTAAAATATGCTGGTGGCAGCATCAAGATCTGTTTTTAAATCTATACTGAAATTATTAGTTGTTAAAGTGGTAGCATTATGTCTCAAACTTTCCCCTCCATCACAGATTTCAGTTGAATTTTACAGGTTTATTTTTAACAGGGACGTTTAAGAATCAGTGTGACGTGTACACTGAATGTATTTTGGGTGTGTATTTTTACATGGGTATTTTTAAGCTCAGCCGATGCTCATCTTATTCATTTGAATGCAGTTAACACAATGCAATTTCTCCAATATCATGGAATGACATATGTCTGAATTTATTAAAAAATTAATTTTGTCAAAAGCTTTAAAGAATGACTCACTTACCCAAATAAGTTGCCAAAAGAAAAAAAGAAAAACCTAAAATGACTTCCAAATACTGCCGGGAAGAGAGGCGCTCACCGAGGCAAACCAGATATTCAGGAAACACTGCAATGAAATAAAAGAAAAGAAAATTCTTTATTTCATCTAATCGTTTCATTTTTAAATAATTTGGTCTTCTCATGGCTCACAATTTTTTTTTAATGTAACATTAACTATACGTAAAATGTACACCACAGATTAAGCAATGGCAATAGTTAAACATTAAACTGGAATGAAGCCTGTGTGCTTATTTGCATTCAACAGGTTTTCTGGCAGGAGGGGGAGTTGCATCTGAGGTGTGACACTGCGCACAGGAAAAGCTTCAAAGTTCTCCGATGCAGAAAAGCAGACGGAAGGTGAGGGGACTATCTGAAAAAGTTAGCAGGAAGGAAAAAAAAAGGATGAGGGGAAGGATTTTCATTTCAGTCGTCTTCTTTGGAAGTGTGTTGACTCTGGTGTGGTACTTACAGGACATCAGGTAAGCAACTTTTAAAATTTTAGAAGACAAAAACACATTTTTCTATAACAAAAAGAGAAGTGTTGGTTTATTGGCATTGACCTTTGGTTTTGCAAGAGGTAATTAAAAAGTAAAATGCTGAGGTTCTTTAACCGTATCCACACAAATAAAATTTTTTATTTCCGTGATTAGAAATTCAGTTTCTTCTCCTCTGATTAGTAGTTGTTCATTGAAGAGAAAAAACAAATATACTTCAGGAACATTTTCAGAAAAAAAAAACCCAGCAACTTTTTTTATTATCACTGTAATAATGCTTCTGTAACTTTCAGAGTGATGAAAATGACAATTTTTGTGGCAGTTACCTAAAATATAACATTTTGACAGAAAATAATTTCTGAACTACTTGACTAATGCCATCTAAATTGTTTACAAATAGGCTGTGGCGGAAAAAGTGATCAGTTTCATTACTTGAGTCAAAGTACTGATCCGAGCGAAATATTGCTCCAATAAAAGTTAAAGTGCTGAAATATGTGTTTTGAAAAATACATCAGTTTTGAAAGTAATTAAAATGTCCAGTTATTTAACGATGCATTTCACTTCAAGGTTGTTGAGAATATGTGGGTAAATTGTCTGTTATATAATGGACAGAATAGTACAGTAACTACAAATATAAATAATAATGTAGCGGCCTCTCGGATTGAACAGCCAGATGCAGGGAGTTTCAAACGGGTGCAATTTAATCTCAACCTTTCTTTCCATTGACATTGTGAAAACTGTAGTATAAAACAAAAGGATACAGAACCGTTGGACATACTCAGCTCTTGTTTAAAACCAACATATCAATATTCTGAATCAGCAGCGTTCTGGTTGAAGGATAAGCATCTAATCCTTCTACAAGTAAAATGTTCCTAATCATACCTGTTTTACAAGAACTGTCAAGCTCAGCTACATTCCCTTTGGCCTCTACTTACAGCAAAAGGGATAAAAAATGTTTTAAACATAGGTGTGTTGCATAAAGACATTTATGTAATTTTGTAATGCTTTATTCAGTGAAATGTGCTAATAAAAGTAATTAGGCTATTTTATCACAGAATTTCAGAAAAATGAAATGTGTGTGTGTGTTTGTCATTTTACTAATATTTTTTCTGCTTTTTCTCTTTTTGGGCATCACAGCAATGGGGAAAATAACCAAAACCAGCATAAGATGAGAAGCGCACCTGACACCATTGCTTCTTGTAAAAACTGCGGGTGAGAAAAGAAACATCTGCAGCTATTTACTTTAGCAGTCTCTTTGTTCATGTCAGAATCGAATCAAGATATGTTATCACTACGGAAAATAACAGTTTACATTCAACATTTCTTGTTGGATGTGTCTTTGTTTTCCAGAGAGAAAATTAAGCAGGCATTAGAGATATACTCTGAAACCTGGACAAAACAAGACTTCAACTATGAAAAATTCAGGTAAGGACTTTTTCTTTATCGCCCCATCATGTCATTGTAAATGAAAGAACTTGGCTGTAGTAAATATACCCCAAAAGAAAATGTTTAACCAGGCTTTTTTTGTGATTTCACAGGTTGGACCTCAGGGTGAACGTCAACGGTTTTGATGAAGCCGTCATAACCCAGACGAACACTCCAGTGGGATCCAGGCTTGTTTATGACGGTGAGAGGAAGAGGATTATGAATGTGACCCAACAGATTTACGACTTATTTCCAAAAGTAAGTTGTTTTCTTACAACACAACATCTCTTGAACATGGTTCTTTCGTTGTTCTTTAATGTTCTTCCTTTAGAGATAACAGACCCATCTCTACCTTCTTTGGTGACATGGGAGAGATAATGGTTTAACACAAATTTATTGGCACATTGTTGGTGTGCCATCTAGATAGATAACAAAGTCTTGTCAAAGTCCCATCTTTGACCGTTATCAACAATAGGACTTTGACAAGGGTCTAGTTCAATAGTTTAAAGAGCAAAAAGCACACAGTCATAGTCCTTCAACAAACTATTCCTGACAAGTTCCCAGCATTCAACAAGCTAATAAAAATCACAAACAAGATGGCAGGGACAAAGCTGTTAAAAACAAATATTTACGTCAGGTCTATTTCTCACCAGTAATACAAGATGATCCAATCATATAATCCCCCTCTAAGTTTTTTTTAAGAATATTTAGACAATGACAAAATAATATTTTTTATAAGAATTCTCATAGCCTAATAACACAAAGACAATAAGAAACAAAACTAAGTCTAGAAACAATTATTTTGTGAGATATTTTGGTGGTGAAAACAGCAGTTAATATGGAAGGTAAAGATTAATGTTGAGAATTTATCTTTATCTTTCACTTAAAAATACTGATACAGTTCCAGTGGCCAGTAGATCAATGACTGAGTTATTTGTATTTATAAGGGTCTAGTTCAATAGACTAGACTCTTATTCTAGTTCAATAGACTATAAGGGTTTCTTTATTGTAAAAAAAAATGAGACCAAAAGAAAAACTCAAACCTGTCTGCAATGTGAGGTGGGGACAAAAAGAAGAAGGCGTAGACATTTGTAGCTATGTTAGCCACTTATTATCCATAGTAAAATGTTTGCTCTAAAAGTTTTTGTTGGTTAAACACGCAATGTCAACAAACATTTTGTTTGCCTAGAAGAAAGAGATTACTTTTTCTAAGCCTTTTCTAGACGTGCCTAGAAAAGGTTTAGTTAGAAAAAGTAATCCTTTCCTTTTCTTAAGGTAAGCCTTTTCTAGGATTCCACACTTGCATCTGAGCACCTGCTGTTTTTGCAGTTTCCATAGAGCTTGTCGGTTTTCTAAAGCAGTCATTATTTTCTGATTTTGAAAAAATTGAATATCCCAAGTGACGTGAATAGTGTTGGTATAGTGTTCTATTCAGTTCAAACAAGCATAAGTCATGTCCAACAATCCTATTCTCTTGTTTTTTGTGACATAATGTCAACATCTCAGAAAATGTTGCCTTGATTGATGAGAACCGCTTTAGCCTGGAATGTCTGTCTTGCTATAAGGCAGTGGTTCTTAACCTTTTTTGAGGTACCGAACCCCCCAGTTTCATATGCGCATTCACCGAACCNTATAATTTTTGTTTTTTTTTTTTTTGTGTATATATATATATATATATATATATATATATATATATATATATATATATATATATATATATATATATAAATAATACAATCTGATCAATTTTGTCAATCATTCTGATAAAATACAGGTTAAAATAAAGGTTATTTGCCATGCTCATCTTGGCTGTGCTAGCTTGAGATGCTTGCTATGCTAGCTTGCTCCTCGAGCTAGCATAGCAGTCTGGAAATTAAAATGTTTCTGTCAATAAAAAGACAGGAGGAACTGCATTAGTAGCTAAAATAACTACATATGAGGACTACATTTGAGGTTGCATTAATGCCAAACAGATGTAACAATTAATGGATAATGAAATACTCAGAAGAAAAAATTGTAAAAAAGCCAATATTTCTTCTGTTTTGTAACATTGTCCGAGGGATTGGCTAGATGCTAATGCTGTTTGTTTCCAGATTATCTGCCCATTATTTTTCAGAGTTACCTTTTCCCTCAGAAGTCAGAACATGAACCACAGAATAATTTGAAATTCTCTTCCAAGTCTGTGAAATTTGGTAACTGTTGTGGTTGATGAACAAAAACAATATTACTATAAGTAAAATATAAGCCAATAATCAGTCAAGAATGATCCGTTTGTACCACCTCTCTTACACATGGCAGCCATATTGGACTTTGAGGTAAACACCAATAGACTTTCCATGTTAGAATTCAAACTTTAGGGGAGAAAATGTGATTTTCTTCCAGCTTTGGAGTACAATTGGAATGGTTACACTGCAAAAACACAAAATCTTACCAAGTATTTTAGTCTAGTTTTGAGTGAAAATATGTTAGTACACTTGAAATAAACAAAACTAACTTACACGCAACTTTTGAATAAGATATAGGAGCTTGTTTTAAGTAAATAAATCAATAATTCTAAAAGTGGTATCAGTGGCAGATTATTCCATTTAAGACATTCCTTACATATTGTAAGTAAAATAATCTCCCAGTGGAATTGATACTTTTTCATCAATATTAATGAAACAAGCTTTTATATCTTCCTGAAATGTTAATGTTAATCCAAATGTACCAATATATTTGTACTAGAAATTAGACCAAAAATATTTGGGGGGTTTTATTTGGTGGTTTTGCAGTGTAGCATGTTGGGGGCATGTTATACTAGCCGAATACCAGTAGAATAAGGTGTTTATATAAAACAAATGCATGTTTATGGTTTACTTTGTGTTTTTCTTTGCTGTTTTGTGGCTCACCAGTCTGAAACGAAGCTGAAGTGGCGTTGACCCGGTTCTTGCAGTTGTTTGATACTGGTATGACGTGCACCTCGTACTGCTGGCCACATGTCAGTCCGACGATGGTGCAGCTGGTGCTCTGGCTCATACATTGCATCTCTGATCCGTTTTCATCCACTGCTGTGGCGATGTAGGAAGTGGCTCCAAAGACGGACGACCAAGATGCTTTGGCAGAGGTTGTGCTGCAGGAGTAATCCACTGATACAGATGACACTGGTGCCAACTCTGTGAAAGGTTGAATATAAGAAATTTGATTTATTTTGTGTGTTTTTCACATGAGAAAACCTCCTACACTATGAAAGTGTAAAATTTTTACCAAGTATTTTTGGTCCAGTTTCTCAGTACTCTTGAAATAAGACAAAACCAAATTACAAGTAACTTTTCTGCAAGAAATAGGAGCTTGTTTCTGGTAAATAATACCTTAATATTGATTTTATAAAAGGACTAGTTCCACTGGCAGATTATTTCACTTATAACAAGTAAATAGTCTGTCGATGGAACCAGGATTTTTTCATCAAAATTAAGGAATTACTGAACTAAAACAAGCTCCTACTGAAAACCTACCTGTAAGTTAGTTTTGTCTTATTTCAAAGTATTAAGATATTTGCAATAGAAACTGGACCAAAAAAAACTTAGTCAAATTTTGTGTTTTGCAGTGTTAAAGCTTCTCACCATTACAACAATAAATTATTACTATGGGGAATGATAACATGTTTTTCTTCCTTGTAACTTTAAATCAATCCATATTTTCTGTATATTTGAGAGGCTTTTGGTCATCAGGCTGCTGGGAAAAATGCACTTTTGAGCTGCAAAAACAAAAAATCTTAATTTCTGTTTAGTTTCTAGTGCAAATAAATATGTAAGGTCCAACCTTTCAGTAAGATATCAGAGCCTTTTTAAGTAAATAATTCCTTAATATTGATGGAAAAAATCCTAGTTCCATCGACAGACTATTTTACTTGTTGTAAGTGAAATATTCTGCCAGCAGAACGTTTTCATCAGTATTAAGGAATTACTGACTTAAAACAGCTCCTATATTGTGTTTAAATGTTTCTTGTAAGATAGTTTTGTCTTATTTTTAATGTGCTAATATATTTGCAATAGAAACTAGACAAACAACTTGGCAACATCTTGTATTGTTGCAGCCTGAAAAGTTCAGATCAAGTCAGAATTACTGATTAGATAACCACGGGCTCAAATTTGACCCTCTTTTATTTGAAAAGATTAAAAAAATAGCCTCTGGATTCATTTCTCTCAGGGAATTTTTTATGACACCCTCAACAACAAGATAAGATGCTGGAGAATCTGAATCCTTTTTACCCTGAGGATCATCTTCTGCATGTCTGAAAGGCTGGCCTGAGAGAGAATAGCTGACCTAGATCTTTATCCAGCAGTTACTGATCCAGCTTTGGCTCTGGAAACTCACTGTTGGTGCTGAAGTTGTGGTTTGTGGGCTCGCTCAGCACCAGGAACTTGTTGAACGAGGACACGGATATCAGGTAGTTGGAGCATGGGCGGATGCCGTTGATGTCCAGGTTGGTGTTTGTGACGTTGTACACAGAAGGCTTCATGGTGGGTTCATCGAGGTTCCGGATGGTGACCTGGTACATCAGGACGTTTACCACCGGCGTCCACGTAACTCTCACTGATTCCACACTGATTTGTGTTGTTGATACTCCAACAGGAGGCTGCACCACTAAAAGACAAAACAGATCGCATAAATTCTCATTTATTATTAGACTAGGATACAATATTTACTTATATTAGTAATCAGAGTTTAGGAGTCCTAGTCATGACATTTAAATGATATTTTAAAAATCAAGTGGAGCACAGTAAAAGCTCCACTTCTGGAAGTAAATCTGCTGCTGAATCTGCTGTGGAGTGAAATTTGAGTCAGATTTATTGTTAGAAACAAATAATGAAGTTATGCTGGTTTTAGATTATGTGTTTTCAGAATATTTTAGCAGCTTTTGTAACTTTGATAACTCCAGAGTTGAACCAAACAAATTTCAACTGGAACAAGAATAACAGTGGTGGGAAGGAAAACGGATACTCCAGCCTCACTGGTGACTTGGTCAAGTTGGACACCATCTTTGCGCCGTAGTAGAGCATGTAATATGAACAAAATGTAGTTGTTTTATTTTTCACTGCTCTTTAAAACTATTGAAACTTTGAAGCATAACCATATGTAGTACAGATTTAAGGAATTAGATGTACGTAGGACTTGGTATCACAAATAACTATGATCAGAATTAAAGACAAGAAGTCTTACTCTGGACATCCTTAATTAGGATTATTCAGTTTGAGACTATTTTAATGTTGTTCTACTTT